GAGCTGTTTTTGGAGGGGGCTAGGTACAGGAAGGCATCCATGAGCCCCCAAACTCACAACACTCCAAAGTAAGACCAAGAGACAATGTAAAGCCAGAATCAGGAAGAACTGACACTAATTAGGTGCCAGAGGAAGAAAGAGCTGCCCCAATCTTGGCTTTGGCCCATTGACTGAGTACCTCAATGAGGACTGAGCAAATGGCATCTATTTCTCCGTTCCTGGGATCCCCACTCAAAGCCCCAGATTCTGTACCAACCAGCACTGGCCAGCCGCTCCCTGAGACTTATTTTCCTGCAATCTGATATTCTGCCATTTCCCCAAAATCTCCCACTAAGGCTGCAAATCACAAAAAATTGCTAGATGAGGCCAGGTGCGGTGGCTCATGCTATAATCCCAGTACCTTGGGAGGAGGAGGCAAAAGGATTGCCTGAGCATTCAAGACCAGCCTGGGCAACTTGGCAAGACTTTGTCTCTACAATTAAAAAAAAAAAAATTAGCCAGGTGTGGTGGTACACACCTGTAGTCACAGCTACTCTGGAGGCTGAGGTAGGAGGATCACTTGAGCCCAGCAGTTCGTGCCATTGCACTCCAGCCTGAGCAACAGAGTGAGACTCTGACTCAAAATAAATAAATTAAAATTACCTGATGAGATGTGCCGTTCACACATGCCTTTGAGATATGCAGAGAGCAGTTCTCTGAAATATGTCTGCAGAAGGATCTAGATGAAGATTTCAGCAAACTGTAGTGCATTCTATGTAGAGTGCAGGAGGATGAGGTATCTATGAATCAGAAGCCAAAGTGAAAAGTCAAAAGAGTAAGATAAAGAGGGAACCAGATGAGACAAAAGGGTTCAGAAAGGATCAGATATGAAAAACTCACAAAGAAATTAAAAATGTAGCCTGGGCGCAGTGGCTCACACCTATAATCCCAGCACTTTGAGAGGCCAAGGCAGGAGGATTGTTTGAGCCCAAGGGTTTTGAGATCAGTCTGGGTAATATAGTGAGACCTCATCTCTACACAAAATCAAAAAGTTAGCTGGTGTGGTGTGCACCTGTAGTCCCAGCTACTCAGGAAGCTGAGCAGGAGGATGTCCTCAGTCCAGGAGATCAAGGCTATGATGAGTTGTGATCATGCCACTGCACTCCAGCTTGGACAATAGAGTGAGACCTTGACTCAAAAAAAAAAAAAAAATTGCAGGGGTGAGCTCAACAGCCACATTGAGGCAGTTAAGAACAGAATTAGTGCAGTGGAAAATCAAATCAGATTGTAAAAACAAAAATTCTAGAATAGTACAGAGTAAACCATGGGGGCAGAGTTGGGGGTGAGGCAGGCTGCCCTATGGCTTGTCTGCCCTGTGGGGAGGAGGGGAACAGACTGGGGCTTGCCTTATCTCTGAGCCAGGGGGTGCTAGACCCGGTGCATCAGCCCAAGGCCTTCTTGTATTGGTGGTTCCTCACCTTCCACCACAGCCTTGCCCTGGTTGGCTGACTCTTCAAGGCCGTATCAGCCTTGTTCCTTTGCTACCTGGCTTCAGGTGGATTTTGCCAAATAGACATATCAACAGGAGGCTGGAGGGGAGGGGACAAACACGTTGGGGTATTTCTCTCATTCTGCCCTGGTTTGGTGATGCATCCCTTCAGAAGCGTGTGCCCCTCCACCCCTGCCAGGCTAAGGGTCTTCCTAAAGTCTGACTATGTCTGGATATTGAGGCCTCTCTGATCACTCCCCAGGCACCCACGTGCAGCCCCACTGGGACTGGGGCTCTCAGGGGAGGACAACCCTGCTGGTGCTGCAGTGAGGGGTGAAGGCAGGCTCCAGGAAGCACTTGCCATAGGCCTAGTGGTACTGCTCTGCTTCCCTGGTGCCCTGACCACCAGCACGGCCGGAGTCCCGCCTCTGCGCTGAGTGCCGCCTCCCAGCATCATAACCTAGATGGGCTTGACAGACTGGGCCTTTCCTCCAGACTTGCTTGGGAGCCCAAGGTTGGGTTCCTGGACCTAGTCTTGATGGATCAGGGCTTCCACATGTCAATTACTATGGCACCAGAGACCAGGAAGGCTCAGTGACTCCTCCTCGAATATCCTAAAGGCTGGGCAGTGCTTGAGAGTGGATGCGGCCTTCCAGTCCGGAAATTCTCTTTGCCTCTGCTGCACTCCGATCTGCTCAACCCAGTTGGTCTTTCACAGGGAAACTTCTACACTTGACCTTAGCTAAAAGGCCCAGAACCGATCACAGGAAACCTTCTAACATGGCAGAGGTGCCCACCTTGTCTGAGAGAACTGAACTCCGGTGGACCCCTTCCCTGGCATTGTCTCTCCAAGTTGGTCCTGACTGTTGTTGTCATCCCATGTGGGAGAGAAGCTGCAGATACTCCAGGCAGCTTGAAGGTAAGAGGCTTGTGGTGAGGAGGGAGGCAGGAGAGAGACCTGGGGAATGAAACTCTTGGGTAAAACCCCTGGGTCATCACTGGAGGTTTCTAAACATTTCCTGTTACTTAGTGAATATCTGTGAATCCTTCTTGGCTTTCCAGCAGAAATTCCTGACTGGGATGGTTCTAGTTGCTATGAAGGAAGCAGTTATGGGACTTCAAGTTTGGATGTAAAAGGACTGGCTGTACAGCAGTATCCTAAGCCAACAGGCTGAGGGGCTGGCCTTGACCTGGGGACGGCTGAAGTTGGCAACAGGGGGCCGTGCAGGACAAGAGCTACTTAGGGGGATGGCACGTGTAGCTTAGGCCAAGAGGCCTTGTCAGACCTGGGATGCTGGCGGCACAGGTCCGGTCCACGGAGAAAATTCTTAGCTTCTAGTGGTGGCTTCTTGGATTCCAGAATTGGCTATCCTTCTGTCTTTGGACTTTGGGAAGATGCACCTGCCTCACCACCAGCAAAGCCTGCAGTGTAACTGTCTGCCTGCCTCCTCCCTGGTTTGCTGTACCCCTCCCCATCCCAAGGCAAGGGGTCTATAGAGAGCACAGGGAGCTGGGCCTTGGTGAGGCCCGGATGCTGGAGCCCTTACCTTCCCTGATAGGGTGCAACAGATTTCTGAGCCACAGAGGTAGGAGTGAGACCGAGGAAGATAGCCACGCCCAGGCTACTGAGCTAGTTCCAAGGAAGGACAACTGGAAACGTCCCCTGGGCACTGGAGGAAGTTGAGAAGGTGGGCGGGGCCTTACCTTCTCTGGTAGGAGCATATCTTTTTAAAAAAAAAATTCTTTTTTATTATAAAGATGTGGGGTACAATTTAGGGTTAGTTATACAAACGTTGATTATGCAGGTACCTTGTTGATGAGTTATGCCCCTCCCTCCCCTAGCAGTTTCCCTTAACTGCCAATCCCACCCCCCTCCCCTGACAGTTTCCCACTACTACCGATCTCTTTCTTTCTTTTCTTTTCTTTTGAGTTGGAGTCTCACTCTGTTGCCCAGACTGGAGTGCAGTGGCACGCTCCCAGCCACCCCAGCCTCGATTTGTTGGTCTCCAGCGAGCCTTCCACCTCAGCCTTGCAAGAAACCAGGACTACAGGCATGCACTACCATGCCTGGCTAATTGTTTTTATTGTAGAGATGAGGTCTCGCTAAGTTACCCGAGTAGGTCTCGAACCCGTGGGCTCAGGCAATCCACTCAGCCTCCCAAAGTGCTGGGATTACAGGCTGAGCCACGGAGCCCGGTCTCCTTTCTTATAGTATTATAATAATTGTTCAAGGTCCGCTTATGAGTGAGAACATATGGTACTCTGTTCTTTGTTTCTGTGATAGATCACTGGGTATGATCGACTCTAAATCCATCCAAGTAGCTGCGAAGTCCAAATGTTTGTCCTTCTTTATGAGGAGCATATCTTAAAAAGGTTTTCTCAGCTGGGTAAAGTCAGTCTTGACTGTCTCCTGAGAACCTGTGACTGGAGGGCCACTAGGGAGCAAAAGTCCCAGAGCTTGAATGCCAATAGAAAGACCAGGTGCTACCAGTTGCCTCCCCACCATGACAGTTTTTCTCTGGAGCCCTTCTACAGGGCCTGCTGATCCCAGGACCACAGGGCCACACTGCTCCCAACTCCCAGTGGGGTATCCCAAATTCACTTGATGTCACCAGCACAAGAGGGTCTTAATTTCCCTTTCTTCCCCTAATGGGGACAGACAGCAGAGAAGGCTGCACTGGGGTGTCATCCAAGGGTGTCTTCCAACTAAGCATGTAATGTCATTACCTCAGAATTATTCAGAGTTTCCTGCTGGTATCAGGAAAATATTCTAATCTAAATTATATTCATAAATTCTAAATTATATTCATAATTTCACATTCATAGCATCATGGGGCATAGGAACTGTAATTGTTAGCGACTTTAAATGAAGAGAGAAACCACAACCTCCTCACGAAGCACACCAATCCATACACACATAAAATCTGCTAACGCCTTCTTCTCTCTGAGGTCCCAGATCCCTGCTGACCATGGCATTCATGACCAGGTCACAACTACCCATCTTGTGCTTTGTAAACAAGTCTAGAAAACAGAGTTGCTGAGATTCATAAGATGACCCAGCCAATCCTGCAAGATGTACAGAAACTTTCTAAATCTCCCCCAAACAGGAGGGAAGTTTTCAGCTGTTTCTTCCCCTTACAATGTAGAGAAGGTGGAGTACAATTTAGAGGACTCTACATCAGCGGAATTCAATGTTAACTTAATTTACGACATCTGACATCTCAGTCATTAGGTGCTTGACCAGAGCTTCCCAACCTGGCTGAGCCGGTCAGAGTCACTTAGGACAAAATCCACATGGCCAATCTTATCCTGGGAGACTCAGATTCGTAGGTCAGAGGGTGAATGGAGGCAGGAATCTGTATTTTTACTATGCTCCCCAGGGTATTCTGATACAAGTAAATCCAGAACTGGGAACTTGGCTGTTAGAGCTATTTGGAGGCAAACACCTTGTCTTCACGTTCCCAATCTGCCTCAGTTTAATTCCTAAAAAATAAATGCAAAAAGTAAATAAAGACAGTTTTCGAGATGTTCATGGAATGACTTTTTTTTTTTTTTTTTTTACATTTTTCAACTAGTTAGGACAAAAACATTACAATGATTGACTTCTTCCATTTAGTTACATAAATAAAATTTTTATAAATATCTCTTTATAAACAATATAAATAGCTTTACAACATAAATACATTTATGCATGACATGAATTTACAAACAGCAATGTTTTACAGCTGGTTTTGTCAGTCTCTTAAAAACTGTCCCTTGTCATCAAGTCGGTGTAGGTGTGTGTGTTTCATGTATATAATATATATATAATATATAACTTTTTATTTTTCATTTTCAAAAAAAACCCAAACAATAAAATCACACCCCCCTCCCCAAATAATAATAAAATAGCTGGTGTTGTGTATTCCCAGTACCAGGAAAAAAAAAGAAATGTAAAAGCCACATTGCGTTGGAGGTGCTTCCAGATGTTGCCGATGACCAGCGATGACCTCAGCACAGCAGAGCCGGTTCCCCATCCTGAAACACAGACGCACATAGTTCTGGCCCCTTCGCTGAGAAAGCCCAGCCTGCAGGGCAGTTCTAAAACCTTTCCTTTCGTGAAGAGAGAACCTTTCACCTCAGCATGAGGCGATGACCCTCCGCCTTTGCCCCATGGCCCCTGATGAAGGCCTTCCTGTAGAAGGAAACCACCTTTATCTTCTGTTGTGCATTGAGCACTTGCTGCCCCAGCAGAGGTGGAACCAGAATGTCTGCCTGCCCACCTCCGCCCCCTCAGTCTAACTACAGGCCCTGCCCTTGGCACTCAGGGAGGCACAGTGAGGGAAGGAGAATGGGGAATCCTCCCTGTCCCTTTACTGCTGCAACACACACCCTCAGCCAGGTGCTTGCCTCTATGTATGTGTCTGGGTGACCGTGGAGGGAAGGAGGAAAGAAACATCTGAGGAGTCAAGAATTCTGGGCTCAAATCCCAACGCTGAACTGACGCTCAGGATGGCCCTGGATAGCCTTGAGTGTTACTTTCCTCACCCATAAAGTGGGATAATAGCCACCTCCCAGGGCTGGGTTTAAGATTCAACAGGGGGCCATGAACTGGGCACTGGCAGTGTCTAGGTTACAGCCACCATCCAGTAAACAGCACTTCCTTCTCTATCTGGCTTTGCCTCAGAAAGGGTAAGGGCCCAGGGTCCCCTTCAGAAGCAGAAGAAGTCGTGTCTCACACCAGCCCTGGGGAAATGAACAGTCATACTGGGCTTGGTGCACTGAGAATTGTTAGAGTCATTTGCTGAGGGCTGTGCTCAGTCCATGCCAGTGGGTGTGTGGGTACTCCAGGGTCCAGGGAAGGTGTCCTTCTGAGATGGTGCGGTGCCCTCCCAACAGGACAGCATGCAGAGGTATCCTGGGCTACAGTGGCTTGGTGAACTCTCTTCTGACTCCCTTCTTTGGCTTTTCCATGTGTTTAAACAGATGACAGATGTCCTGGGGCCTCGGGGCAAAGTGTTCTTTCAGGTGTCAGCCATACCCCATCTCTGTCATTAGCATTTTATAAGCAAGACTTATAACCACCAGTGACTGTCATTATGGTGGTGCTTAGAGCCCTAGTCAATCTCCGAGTGGAGAAATAGCCATAACCTCAGAAGAATATCTATTAATGTAAAAATCCAAGCTGTCTTTCTTGTTAAGCCCAGATAGTGATCTATCCTGGGCACTACCAGCAGGAGTCTGCAGATACAGGAAGGATGTTCTGCTTTCTGTGGGGTCAGGGAAAGGCAAGGGTAGGGTTGAGAAGGCAAAGGGTGTTGGGGATGGGTGTTCATCTATGCTAAGAGAACTCCCTTGGTCAAATGGGTCAAGGAGTCTTAGCAATCTGACCAGGCGTGGTGGCTCATGCCTGTATTCCCAGCACTTTGGAAGGCTGAGGCGGGAGGATTGCTTGAGTCCAGGTGTTTGAGACCAGCCTGGACAACACTGCGAGATCTCATCTCTACAAAAATTAAAAAAATTAGTTGGGCATGGTGGCACACACCTGCAGTCCCAGCTACTTGAGATGCTGAGGTGGAAGGATCACTTGAGCCTAGGAGGTCGAGGCTCCTGTGAGCCGTGATTGTCATGATCATGCCACTGCACTCTAGCCTGAGTGACAGAGTGAGACCCTGACTCAAAACACACACACACACACACACCAAAAGCAGATGTCTTAGCTATCCGGATTCCTTCTACACAGCATCTCTTACCACCGTTTGGCTATCCTCTAGTGCCTACAGACAGTCATGCCCAATGAGGCTGTACATTCCAGGCACTAACCAATGGAAGGTTCACTAACATTTGTTCAGATTCTAAAGTTTGAGCTTGGTGCTTAAATCAAACTGAACACTTAAGGCCTCAGATTCCATCTCTTCATTGTTTAGACGGAAGAGAAGAGACCAAAGACGGTAGCTACTAAAGCTTGTTCCCCGGTGTCAGAATCATTTCTCTCCCTGTGCAGGGGAGAGTCAAGATCACAGACAACCCAGCCTCTGTAGAAGTGGGGAGAAGCACACAGCCAAGTTAAGTCTGGCTGGAGAGGCCTGGTTAAAACCTAGGGCAGGTGGGGGAGGCTGTGGGCTGGACATGCAGGTTTCTCCCATCATTGACAAATATTTCTAAGAGTCTATTGAGGGCGCTGTGGGTCCTATTGCCATAGGCCTGTGCTCCGCCCTTGAGCTGCTCAAGAGTTAATATGGGGAGGTGAAGAGGTTCACAAACAGCTATAACTCAGGTGACAAAAGTGTTCTGTACTGTAAAAAAGACTTAAGCAATGCACTGGAGAGGAATGCTTATCTCCCGCCGAGAAGACACTGACAAGGAACAAATAAGATGTATACGGCAGGCAAAGGTGGCGGCTAAGCTGTAAGCAAGACTAGAAGGGCAGAAGCACACTTGAATGTCAATGTCAGAGGTTGGAGTGTTGTTATTCCCTGGGCATTGGCAGGCAGTAGGAGCAGTGAGGAGGGCGGAGAAGAGGTAAGGCTCTTTGCAGCAGTAAATTGCCACCATGCGGCACCTGGCAGGGGCTGACGGAAGGGCAGAGGATTCTAGCTCTAGTGGAGGTTGAAGAGGCCTCCGCAGAAACAGGGTCCAGAGCACCAGTTGGGCAGGGGACAGGGGTGGTGAAGAACATGTCCTATTTGAGGTTGGGACAAAATTTTTTTTTTACTCTTGTTTCTTCTTTTCCTGACCGGAAGTAGTGACACAAACATTGAGGTTTGCCTCTGAAACCAGAGGGCTGCATCAGGACCCTGGACAGACCAGTTTGCCCACTGCCTGGGTTTAGAGAAGGGCAAGAATCAGAATGCCCCAGGTAGAAGAGCTCCCCGATGATGCCAACAGAGGGCTAATCTCTCTGCTATGTGGGGACAGGTATTTTTCTCCAAGTCTGTCCTGCTTCAGGTCAACAGGCCCAGGAAGCTGTCCTGGTGGGCTTGGCTGCCTACTGCCATGCCGCTGTGCCAATGTGCATGGTGGCTGGCAGATAAAAATGTACTGGGCTTGTGGGTACGCCTTTTCCCCCTGTGTTCCCACAAGCCCATGATCGCCCCTCAATCCTTCCCAGCCCCGAGTCGGCGAATTGGGGCAAATATTGCTAGTTCAGCTATGGTACAGGGGTGGGTAGGACCCCACCAAGTTCGTTGCTGCTTCTGCAGGGGAAACCAGGTGGCTTCGTCCAGGCTTAGCCACTTATGACCTTTCCAAGACTCCCTGACTGCTTTACTCTTCACTTTCTTCATCTGTAAAATGGGATGATAAATGGGGTGGCGGGTAGATGCCTAGCACCCAGCTGACCTCACACCGAGATTGCCTGGCTCCCCGCAAAGGCCGGCTGGGAGGCGCAAGGGCCCAGGCCGGGGACTAGTGCCAGGCGCGCGGGAGCGCCCGGCGGCCGCGGGCTGTGGTACTCACCGCCGCCAGGGGTCGCTGCACTAACATCCCAGGCCGCTCATGGAGCCGATCCGGTCCAGCTTGAGGCCGAAGCAGCCCTTGGACAAGCCCTTCTTGTTGGCTCCTTTGTATTTGCGCGCGTTGGGGTGCTCGTGCAGAAGGCGGGCCCACGCCGCCCGCGACTTGGTGTCCACGCGCAGGTCCCGGAGCAGTCGCGATCGGTCGCCCTTGAGGTTGGCGCCGCCGCTCCCGGGAGTCTTGTCGCCCTTCTTCTGACCGCCGCCCCCAGCCTGGGGCTCGGCCAGCTCCTCGCCCGGCGGGGTTCGCGGGACCTGTCGAGAAAAGAGTGGGCAGGTGAAGGGACACACGGCTGCAGCCGGACTTAGCGGGCCTCCGATGCTCCAGCCGGACGCGCTCGCCAGCGCAGTGCGCCCCTTCCGAGCCCCGAGTGCGCCCCCGCCGATGCCGGCCAGCTTGGCCCCGCATCCACCTGCCACGCGGCCGCCGTCCCCTGCTCCCTCTGAGAGTCCCCTGCCCGCTCCTCCTTTGCCGCTGGCCCGGCTGGCCTCACTGGGGCAGAGGGTTGCGCTTATGTCGACGTTCTCCTGAGGCTGGGGGAGTAGACTCCCCGAGTCCGGGCTTCGAGGACTCCCCGGCTCTCACCCGCGCACACCTCGGGGGAAGGGCTGCCCTCCCGCGCTCTCTGCTCCCTCTTGCGCGCCGCATCTTCCCACGACCCCAGCCTCCCACGCCCCTCACAGGCCCCGCGTCCCAGCGACAGCACCCACCTTCGGCGGCGCCCCGGGCTTGGCTTCGGAGGGCCGGAGCGAGAGCAGCGTGAGCAGCAGGGCGCAGGCCAGCAGCTGGGAGA